TAGTAGCGATGGCCTCCACCCTAGTAGCTTCTTGCTCCGAATAGCGACGGCCTCCAACCTAGTAGCGATGGCCTCTCAGGGAAATGTGCATGTCGATTGGTCTTGTGAGTCTTGCCACGTGTGCCTGCGCTCAGCAAGCTGTCCTGGAGCAGCCAATGGGGCGCTTGCAGGCAGAAGCACCCACCAACCTCCGGACCTCAAGATCCAACGTTGCAACGCTCCAAAGGTCTGCATGCTCGGGGCGCAGCCCAAAGTTTCTACCAAATATGGGGAGAAGGTTCAGAATGTCCGGGAGGCGCATCCACATCAACTTGGGCTTGCAAAATTACATGCTGACATGGTCGTGAACTGGATGTTCAACGTACGGGGGGTTTATGCATCTCTGCTGTCTAAAGTGCCAAGTCAGAATGGGTTGTACCAACATGAGGTGGTGCAAGAACCACCCGATGATCCAAGATCCTGGTACATACGAACCTCCCAAGCCTGGCATTGCAACAACTGCCCCCGAAACTGGAAATGCTCCCCACGGCGCACAAACAAAATGTTCTTTTCCGATCAGACAGGGTCAATGGATTGTTGCACCAAGGGGAGTGGGCAACCTCAGTTGGGGTAAGAAGTCCTAGGATTTCTAGTTCTCGGGAGTCTCTTGAGGCTTTCTCCTTTAAAAAACACAAAACACAGACCCCCAACTTCCACAGCTGTGGCAAACATGTTTTTGGTTTCTTCCTGGTCATTGCAAATGAATATATGCACACTTGCCCTCGGTGAAGAACAATCCAACGAAAACCCCAACAGCGCAGGATCGCAAACATGCCGCAGATCTTCGCAGGCAATTGCTGCTCTAACAACCCTGCTTGCAGCTGTCACTGCCACGTTTAACATGAGCAGGCGACTTTTCGCAGCATCTTGTGTGCCGTTCTTTGGGCTGCAAGTGGGGACCAGGTTCCAGAACTAGGGATATCACAAAGGATGTCATGAAATCCATGGTCTTGAACAACGAACTGCTTTCAAAACGGAATTTCAGTCCTTCGGGAATGTCCGTCCAAAACAGGACCTGAGGCGCCAAGAGTGTTCCTTCGGAGTCTTTCCCGAACACCACAACTGGCAGGGAAAGACGAGCTTTTGTGCTCTTTGCTCCTAGTAGCGTCCTTGCTCCTAGTAGTAAGGCCAGGAGCCCCTAGTAGCGTCCTGTTCCTAGTAGAAATGCCCTTTGCTCCTAGTAGCGTCCTTGCTTCTTTAATGGATTGCTTTTCTCAAAACTCTGAGCTCATTGGCGCTGGGCCTGCGTTCCACTATATCTCTGAAGCGGAGCCAGTTCACTGCAGAGCTTTGCAAGCAAACTGCTCTAAGAGGTAGCTAGTTGCAAAAAATGCAAAACAACCTCTTTAATATTATATATTTGTATTGGTATAATGCTTCGCGTTGGCGAAGTAGCGGAAGTGTCCTTCATCTATTACCAAATAAGAGCCGGATTACCCCACACGAGCGTCTGCCAAAATGTACTGTCAAGCAAAGGACATGATTCAGCAAGGTTATCGCTTTTGAGGGGGCCTAGCGCTTTTGCAGGTTTTAGCAACAATGTCAACATAGCTGAACATATTCAAAAACTGCGGAAATATGATTATCGCTTTTGAGGGGGCCTATCGCTTTTGCAGGTTTTACCCCAATTCATGAGATTCACGACTGCTCTTTACTAAATTGGTCATTGCACGTGCAATGGCGGTTGCTCACATGTCCAGCTTGCCTTTGCATTGGAAAGCAGAACGGTATCGGAGTGATAGCGGATGAGGCGATGATGGCGGATGGTGTGATGCACATACGGATGTGTGTGTGCGTATGATGTTGGTGTCGTATCATTCAACAGCTTCTTCGTAACATCAATCTTGCAAAGCATTTTCAGAAGTTTGATGTTAACTTCTTGGTCTTGAGAGGGTGTGAGTTAGAGTTCTGAGTAAGATTGTGTCAGTGAATTTGTGTGTGTGTAAGTTGGTGTGAGTAAGTTCGCGTCTGTGTAAGTTGATGTGGCTAAGTTAGTCTACAAAGCAGCAAAACGCCGGGGAAGAGCGGCGGCGTGCAAGTTGATGTGTGTCAGTGGTGTAGGTTGATATGTGTGTGTGTGTAAGAGTTGACGTTGCTGCGTGCAAGTTGGTGTTTGTTCCCAGTGTGTAAGTTGTGGGAGGAGGAGCGGCGGGAGGAGGAGTAGGACACTAGGTCACTAGGCGGAGGAGCGGGATGCCCACACTATCATGTGGAAAACAAAAAACATGTGTCATGTGGGATCTAGAGGTTCCAGCCCAACAACCATCCCCACAGGAGGGCACCCGCCTGAAGTGAAAATGTGTGGGAATCCTACATATCCCAAACCCATGTCCAGCCGGAGGGTCACAGACACTGCGAGTTATACATGGATGATTGTGGATTACTGCCAGACAGGCCAGACAGGACAGGGGGGGGTGACCAAAGCGATGGAATCGAATCTTGCAAAGAGATGGTCATGCAGAAGAACTGGCTCTCCGGGTGAACTACTCATCCTCAAAGTGGATTGTGATTCGAAAGTCTGCCGGCGTCAAGGCGTGCCGGCCTGCATCGCGCTGTAGCCCATCCACGCATGCCTTCGGCAAGTCCAGAAGCAAAATCCTCCTCGGAATTCGGTTGGACGCCATCACTATACGAGGTGGGAGGCCATCACTATACGAGGTGGGAGGCCATCGCTACTTAGTAGGTTGGAGGATGCAAGAAAAACAACATGATTCAATTAGAAAAGTTGGTAGCTTCAGGCTGAGTACTGGCACAATTCCTATTTGGGCTTTGATCCATTCCTCTAGGCCTGGTGAAATCCTGCTCAGGGTTTGTACAGGAGGCTCTCACACCAAACACCCGCATGCCATATCAGGACGCACATGAGATCAAAAGGGTCAGCTGAGCAAACTCTCTTGAAACACGACATCTTTTGCCACAAGTTCCAACACTTCCTTGCGGAAGTAACCCGAGAGTCCCCCCAGGGCCCCTTTTGGATCTCCTATCGTCCACCATCTGCCGCTCCAAGAAGGCGTGGTGCCACCAAGCTTTCATGCGCAACTTCCGATTCAGGAGCCCCGCGTGCCAAGTCCGACGGGACACCTGCAGCGCTGCACTTGCTGTGACTGCACTTGCGGCACCCCAGTAGATAGAGCTGTTCCAACCCCACACACGTGTTCGTTCCGTCCGACTCGGTTCAGGCGGTGGATGCTTCGGTTAACGCTGCTCTCGGCGGTGCGACCGCGTTCGGTGCCCTTTCGTCGGTGCCCTTTCGTCGCCCCGTGTCGCCATGCCATCCGCCTCCAAGGTCAAAGACATCATCCCATCGGCCTCGTTCCACCAGGGCCTCAGTGAGATGAATAAAGTTACTTAGTAGCGATGCCCTTGTTACTGTAAAGAAAAAGAAGATCCCTTTTGCGAGGTCTTGGAAAACTGTCCCTCCGACATTTTCTCAAATGTCCCATCTTGTGGCCAACTAAAACGGCCTTTGATGGTTTTTGATGCCTTTTGGGGGTCTGGCACATTGCCGCTTTCCGCTTTGATGCATCCCACGGTCTTTCCGCTCCCACGAATCGATCGATCCATCGAGCATCGCCGTGAAGTGCAAAAGATCGTTGCAGGTGGACAGCTGAAGGTAGAGGCGATGCACCGCCTGAGGGATGCCATCCTGACGGCTCACCAGCGCTACCTGACAGCGTGAAGCTGCAGGTGTTGGCTCCTACCCTACCAGCTCTACAAACATCTGCGCGGAATCTACATGCTTTCTACAGTCATGCTCGGCTGCATGCTGCTCTTTGCAGCTTGCTTTCTGTACTTTGATGGGAAGTGATGGGAAGGATCATGTCATGCAGCCAGTTCGATGGTTTGCAGGTTCCTCAAATCAGGACCTAGAGCAAGGGATACCAAGGGGGGATGTGTGTGTGTGTTGTGTGTGTCTGTGTCTGTCTGTGTGCGCTCACGCACACACGTGTTCACCATGTGCAAGTTGGAGCTCTTTAGACCTCTCCCGCCTTGACTTTCACAGGGCCCTCCAGCCCTAAGTGGCTAAACTGAATGGCACAAGGCCTGTAGCGCCCAGTGGACGGGCCCATGGGGTCACTGAGCAGCTGAACGCCCTGCTCCAACCAAGTCTCGAACCTCATCTGGCCGGGACACATCCTACTTGGTGTGATCAATCTGAGCAAATGATGGAGACCTTGATGCGCTTCCTAGAGTACTCTAACCACTCACTTTTTCTTCCAACCTGGTAACCTGATAAGCGGCCAAATGAAGGCGGCCCCCCAAAAAAAGTAGAAAGTGCACCAGAGGAACAGCAAGAACGACAGTAGATCCTCGTGGTGTTTTGGCGGTTCAAAGATCAAAAGATTAAAAAAAAGGAGCTAGTGCTAGAAACCTTGGTTCTTGGTTCTTTTGTGAGGCACTAGGAAAGCTGAACGGTCTGGAAGTTGTACTTCACTCATCACCATCTCTTGTTTATACTGCATGGGTTCTTCTCGGAATAGAGGCTGAAGCGCCAGAAAGGGGCTGCACAGTTGTATAAGCTTGCTGCCCAAAGAACGATAGTGAGCATCCAACAAAAATGAAACATCGTGAAGTTGGCCACGATGAAACGCTTCTGAAAAACGACGGTTGAGGACACGGATCGAAAAAATCACGATTGAGTGATTGAGGATTCAAGATCAAAGCAGTTTCACAAGATGGTAGAGGAAAAATGCACCTCCAAAGGAGATCGTTTCCAGGCACAAAATGGGAAAGTTTGGACTCTAAATGATTTATGGATATCGCTGGTCGCTTGTGATCCTTGGAGTGCGAGGAAGATTTTCACTGGTTTTCTGTGTCGTTTTTGGTATGGCCTGTCGTGTTCGCATCTTGCAGTGTGATTGGCGATGATTTGCTGCGAGTTTTGCACCAGGCAGGAGCAACAAAGTCGGCTCTTTCAATTCACTTTGCACAGTGGGGGGCCTGACAAAGGTCAGTACATGGTATTATGGGGGGGCGAGCTCAGTTGGCAAAAACCATCAGAAAATTGGGGGTTGGGGCACTCGTTTGACTGTTCAAGTCTGAACCCCACCTGAAATTGTAAACAACAACTTCAGCTGACCTACTGCTGGGCTCGCCTGGAGCAGTGAACAAGTGGAAATGGTTCTACACCGCTGGCCGTCTGACACATAGAAAGATTTTGGCTTGGACCAACAAAAGGGTTGGAGGCCATCTCTATTCCGTTGGAGGCCATCACTATTAGGTTGGAGGCCATTGCTTGTCTTGTTTGTCCTAGACCTTTCTTTATATACTATATATACCACTGCATGTACCAATTCTTTGGACCCAAGACACATAGCAATCCATCGAATCTGCGAAGGGATCGTCACTCCTGCGCGTGTGCCGCCACGAACGTGCCCGAACCAGCGGAGAGCGTCGCGGGCGGACAGCACGGCACCAGCGTAGAGGAGCAACGCACAGATCCTCGGAGCATTGGTCGGATCGTGCCGCCTTCTCCGTGAAACGAAAGCAAAGAGTTGCAGTTCTGGTTCTGAAAGGGAGAACTGAGATGGTGCAAGAAGCTACCAACGTAGCTCCTGGCCTTACTAGGAACAAGAAGCTACCAATAACAAAGGGCATCGCTACGAACGGAACGATCGGACGCTACGAACGGAGATGAAGCTTTCCTGCAGATGCGCGAAGCAGACGACGCACAACCCCAACGATTTGTCATGCCAGGGCTCATAGTGCCGGAGCGACCTTTGCCAGCCTTGCGGCTACAACGCGACTCAGAGATACTGAGAGGGTCGGTTGGGACGCACGTCGGATCACCGTTCTCTCTTCAGCACCGATCCGGAAGCCCGTTTTCATCCTACAGCTTCCTACCTTGCTCCTTCACAAAAACATGATAGATGTTACAAAAAAGCGGTCAACAATGAAATGAAATGTGAAGCAACTTTGTGGGTGTTTATGTCACAGGTCGTTTTTGTATCGACCAGCGCCTTGCAGTGAATCGCAGCAACATTTCGCTCATCCACTTTCAACCAGGCCTCCGGTTGGGAGGTCTTGCCAGGCAACATGGATGAGATGATGAGATGTGCTTTTTTTTACGACTTCTCTAGACTCTAGAAGCACATTTGTGCGCCTTTCAAGGGAGGTTTATATACATCCGTTCTTCAATTCCAAAGAACTTATGGTGAGGATGACTTGGAGCAACTTTGGAAATCAGCTGGTTGAGCGTCGAGTCCATGCTCATGATCTCGGCGTAGAATTCTATTATACACCCCATCCAGAGGTACTAAATCCGTCTGAATCCAACACTAGCAAATGAAGAGGGACATGTCTGCAAAAAACTCTTGGGGCACGTCTTATTAATATCCTATAGGTTACCTGACATGCACAAGGAAAGTTTGCAACATCAAAACAATTCTTGTAGCTTTTGGAGAAAATCCTGAGGGCTCACCACGAATCACATCAAATCACCAATAATCCACTTTGTGCCTCTACATCCCGGCAGAACTCGAGTATCTTCGAGAACTGTGGGGGGGCAGTGATCCGCGCACGGAAAGTGGATCGTTTCATCGGGAAAGCCATTCTCCTCGGTGGTCAGCCGTCTGGCCCAAAGGACGTCAGCAATGGTGGAAAGAACACAAACAAAACGCCAGAGCACGACTTCCTCTGCAGAAGTAAATAAGAATATCAGAATGTCGTAGAATGTACAGTAGACCTCTATATATTCTACTCTATCTTGGTGAAGAGTCAAGTCTTGGTTTTGATCTTTGGTACTTAGTACTTGACCGCATGTGAGCTTGTACCCCTGGGTCACTCGCATGTTCGGTCAGTGATTTGTGTGAGGCACCCTGAAGCTTCGCTCTGCACAAAGGTTGTAGATTCGGAAGCAGCCGTCTCCGTGCGCCCATCGAAGAAAGCGCTGGACCTCGCTCTTTCTCTTTCTTCAAGTGTTTCAAGAGCTTCGTGCAAAAGCACAAGCAAAATGGAAGCAGTGAGCAAAGTTTGGCAAAGCTCCAACATCGCAAGAGGCATCGTCAAGCACTGACTTTTGAACGCGCACCTCGGTCACCTTCGGCAAAAGGCAGAAAGAAGTCTTTCTTTACACTGTGCGTCCCGCTCCGTCTCGTGCCCCACCCCACCGCACCTCACTCTGAGGATTTCGAAAGCAGGCGCCGGAGCTTTTACCAGGAAAGCCCATGGCAATGATCTTCGACGTCACCTCAGGCAGACAAATGAGGTCGGTCAGATCACTGGATCGTCGCTCCGTTCAGCAGTCCGACTTCCTTCTCTCTCGGGTTCCAAGACACATATGCCAAGTCCAGGTCGAAGCCGTTGGAGACATAGCGGCACCGGCTGCCCGCGACCTGAAACCAGGTTCTGAAGGGGGGTTCAAAAAGGAGTGCCTTTCTTGAAGGTAGGGTGCAGTAGAAAATTGTAGGAAAGCCTTTTAGGTCTTTAGCAACTTTTTTTTGCTTGCCCTTCCTTGCACACCTGCATTACATGGCAGACTCCCAAAACTTTCCCCTGCCTTGCGGCGCATCCATCGCCACAGTCCTGTGCTCAAGAGCCCCAGTCGCTCCTGGACCAACGGCCGGTGCACACCGCGCACACCAGAGTCCAAACTGACGGTGCAAACTGCGTGATCGCAAAAAACGCACAGGAAAAGCGCAACCAAAACAGCGCAAACAACTTCCCATCATCTTCAACAACTTCCTAGTAGAAACAAGTCCCTTACTCGTAGTAACAGGTGCCTTACTAGTAGTAACAAGAAGCTATTAATTTAATGTCCCAGCGCAATGGACCTGGGAGCCCCTCACAAAAACCGCACGCCTGGGAGCCCCGCTTGCGTGCAGTACCCAGCCAGTTCTCTTGAAGCAACTCCTGCACAAACCAACTGCCCCAAACACACAATCAAAGGGCAACACGGAAAGGTGCAGCTTAACAAGGCCGTTCTTGCTTGGTGACGAACCTACTCACAATCGGAGGAGGCATCGATGTGTTCGCAATGGCTCATTGTGGAACAATAGTGGTGCCCAACGCTGTTTAAGGACTTTGGACCCGTACGAGAATCCCGGTGGCCTTTCCGTGCTTACTGAGGTTTCAATAGTTCCAGTGAAGTCTGTGATTTGGTAAGACCATGCGCACATAATTTCTGCTGATATCATTCAGCTGATCAACTTCAAGCAATTCTGGGATGCACTCCAAATGGGAGTCGCACCCAAGATTTCACCAAGCAGCACTTCCGCATTCTTCAAAAGAAAAATGTAAACATGTGTGTGTATATAATGGTATCTATATATATAAGTCATCCAGGATGACCATGATTTTAGAATCAAGAGTGTGCGCGAAAGCATAAGTTCCAAAAAGCGAAGTTCCAGTCAGTTCCAGTCAGACCAGTTCGTCTACATTGGCGAATGGCCCAGGGGGCGGAAATCGGGGAAGCCCACAGTCTCAAAGTTTCCATATTTAGATTAGCTCAAAGTCTCAGGACTGCTAGTGGCTCAGCAGAAAAAAAAAATCACATCAGTAATTGCAGGGCTTTGGAATTGCAGTGCTTTCTGTTGTTCCTCGAATACGCAGGCAACACCTGATTCCGCCCAAGAACATGGAGAAATGTCTGGCCCAGTGGCACCCAATAAAGTGCTCCGGAAAAGCAACAATTGAAGTTGCAATAGTAATATCAATATATGAAGAACTGGGCTGTTCTCTGGAAGCCTGAGCCATAAACTCAAGGCTGCCGAGAGAACATGACGATTTCAGACCAGAAAGCAGTGCCGCACCAAGCCATTTGGGTCAAAGACACATGCGAACACGCTGAAAGATTCAAAGAGCTCATCAACGAAAGGCAACAATTCTGGACTCCTGCCCAGAATTGTTCCTCAAAGCCCGTGGCTTGGTGGACGACAACTAAGTCAGTGTTGTCTTCACATCCTTTGGCACAGGAGATTCACTCCTTCTTCTAAGGTCAATTTGTGAAATGACGGGAAGGATGTGTTTCCCTTTTCTGAGAATGTCCTGATTGTCATTTCGCTCCGTTTTCTTGTAAGAAGTGAAGTCTGTTCCGCTACTTGGCAAAGCCTTCGATCTAAGATCCTCAAACATTCCACAACACTTTCACGGAACTACCCGCATTTTCTCAATCAGGACATGCTCACCCGCCATAAAAAAAGAAAGGGTTTTCCTGCGCTCCGTCCAGACCCCTCCAGATCCCCCCAGATCCCCATCGCAATGATGTCACGTTCAGAATTGCCCATGAAAGGTTAGGCTCTGGATTTTCCGGCTTAGAGCCGATACTGAAGCGATACTGAAAAAGCACGGCTTCGTTTCACGCTGCACCACATACTTCGAGCTCCAATCCTCGACCATTTCAGAGACGTGGAGCACGAACCGTGCGCGCATCGCATGAGAGACGGCGAGGTTACACACATTTGACCGAACGAAGAACATCCTGCTTTCGGTCATGTGGAAAGTGGAAAGGATGTCGACGTTTGGCCATTGGAAAGAAGATGAATAGAGATCTCCTCTGGCAAGAATGTCTCATGGGGGTGCCTTCAATGGATATTTCCCACATATTGCCCTGTGCCGTCTTTGCGCTTCAAGGTTGAAGGCAAGTCGCTCCAGGGGCCGAGCTAAGCACACCGATCGAAACACACCGAGACGGAGATGTCATGACACGATCCACACAACATCCTGGGCCGAGCTGCGCTTGAGTCCTGCTGCCTCACCAATCACGCCTGGGTCATTCTCAACCTTCTCCAAGTACCGGTCAAGCTTAGCCTTGGAAATCACCCCACTAGGACTTTTTACAAAAAAAACAAAAAAAAACTCTTGTAGTGGCGCGGTGGCATTCTGTTCGCTTGATTCATCAGCGCAATCCCATTTCAACCACCCTGTTTTGGCGGAACATAGGTCATCTACCCACAGTATAGTATGAGGCTGCCCAAAGAGTTCGCAACAACACCTACGGGTTGATGGACAAACCATCATCCACTTGCGAACCATCTGCAACCAGAACCACATGTTTCACTTGCAACCACTTGCTATTTGCGCTGCATCGGTGACCACCGGTCTCCACCGGTCTTTGTCCAAAGAACTAACTAATTCAACTACACTGTCGTTTTTGGAATAAAACACACTATGTACCTGGAAGATCAAGAGCTAAAACAACTTGTTGAGCAAGGGCAAGCGGGCCAAGTGCCCTTCGTGCATCGTGCAATTTGGCGGGAAGGCTGCTCTCATGCCATGAGGAGGTTCTGGCCAGTGCTCTGTGAGGAAGGAGCCTTGGAAGGGTTCCCTCTTCTTCGTCCAGGAGGAACAACTGGTCCAACACTTCAATGCCAGGACTTATTGGAGAGGGTAGGAAACCGTGATCCGCTCCCTTAGAGCCACCCCCGCTTGTAACACTTCAATTAAAAGTTTTTGCTTCACACAAGTCAGAAGCTTGTGAGGTCCAGCAAGGGAAGATGGAGGTCAACATTGTCTGCACCGTCAATGACCATACCAGGCATCCTCGGATGTTAGAAGTATCCAGGGCTATACAAGCAAGCAAGCAAGCAAGGAAGGAAGGAAGCAAGGAAGCAAGGAAGCAAGGAAGCAAGGAAGCAAGGAAG